AAAAGTAGGCCTGATTTAGTGTTAAATAGGCGGCCAGAGGCTCAAGGATACGGAGACAGCGGGCACTTACGCAGTCTTGAAGTCGGACCGCTTCACAAATACACTCTCCCCAATGAAAAACCGGTAATGGACGAATCCGTGCAGCAGGTCCACCAATTCGGACAACTTTCTGCGCCTCGCCTGGAAGGTGATATAGAGCAGGCCACGACATAGTGCAACACCAAAGTTGTTTAATTGATCAAGGTCTGATTTCTCACATGCAACTGCCTCATTGTACGTCAACTGCGACTTGTTGCAAAAGGAGCAGTTCCAGGTGGCGCTGTTCAGAAGGATGGTCCGTTCAAAAAATTCACTAGACACGAAGGGAAGTATAACGTTTTAATGACAACATACTGTCTACTCAATTTTTATGAGTAGCAACTAATTAACACACCAAATGACATTGGCTTACTCATAATCTTGGAAAATCTCGAATGTAATCGGGGAGAAGAAAACCTCGTCATCTGGTTTCATATGTGGCGGGAGAGGCTTCTTAACAAATTGCTCTCCATTTAAGAGCGGCATCGAGAATACTCGGATCAAATGGGGTACGGCTCAGCACCAGTTCCGAAGCCGTCGATTGGTAATCAACCTAATCAAAAGAAGATAAATGTTTTGATAAAAGGACGCCACTGGGGTTCTAAAATGAGCATTGTCAGGTGGACGTAATCCTCAAGAGCAATGATAGGTCACCAACTAATAGGTAAGGTTCATAACCTTAGAGTTGCCCGGCAATCTGTTTTTAACCGGAATAACGAAAACAGTGCCGGAAAGGATCTATTGGCAGTAGAAACCTCAGAGTTGCGGACTGGGGTGGAAAAACTTGACTAAACGCTTCCGGTGCTCAGATCCTTTGATCCAAAAATGTTCTGTGCTTTTGCTCAAGCGATCCCCCTTAAAAGACCTTTTGTGTATTAGGCTTTTGGCAAATTAAGCCATTCAAATAAGATTTCTGATTGTTGAGAAGATTGGTTTTGGAATCACGCTAAAATTTTAGCGACGAAAGGACCTGGACCCTAGCACCCAAAGTCTGACGACGCGCAATCTTCATCCGTAAAACTTGGACACTTACTACCTGTCCGAAGTTCGGATCCCAAATCAAGCGCTCACGAGTAAACTCTCACTTCACCCTATAAAAAGCGGTTTTTTGGATAGAAATGACGTGCAAACTGTCCTCTCACAATGAGAGAACCATGCACTACCTGCATGGGAACCAATCGGCGAAGTTCGGGCCTACGTAAGGCAAACATTTCTCTGTACGCACCAAAGTCAGCTGATGACAAGCACGATAAACAAACCTACGTGTTGTTGCAAGAGTTGGTTGAATGATCCCTTCGCCGTAATCTGTTGCTTGTTGCCGAGGGTTGAAATAACTGGACTGAACCTGACAACTCTCCAAACGGTTGCCGGATGGACCGCTTCGGGCGACAACGGTGACAGTGCGCTTAAATTTGTCGACTAGAACTGACTGTTCATCAGCAGCACACGCTTCCAGCATCACCAATGACATCTACTGACCTGACCAGTTACTGGCCGTAACGTTCGGTCGTCTATCCGAGCTCTCCACAAGGCAGCTGTCGCCTC